ATTTGTTTTTCATCCCTCTCGTCTGCTTTATTATCCCACATTTGCCGACGTATTTTTGAATCTCTTACATCTACTGTGTCTCCTTTTGTTATGGTGGCCATTTTCTTTTCTGTGGGTCACTTTTCCCGCCAAGGTGGCACTGCATTTTGTTTCTTTACATGTGCCTGGGAATGTGTGCTCGCATTTTGAGGGCATTTTTTCCCCTCCTTTGCAGGTTTTGTCCTCCCGTTGCCATTTCTATGTTTTGTTCTTTCGTCTAGGGCATTCTGCCCTTCTCCTGTTCCTATGGAAATGCTTAGGTGTTGGTTTTCACCCAGTTTTGTATTTTGTGTCTGTGTCTGGGCCCAGGGGTTTGGGCCCTGTATCCCTGGCAGTTTGCTATGTTTACTCCCACACCTTCAGTCCCTCAGTTTTCCATCTGTTTCTGGCTGTTTCATTAGTGTTTCAGTCTAGGTGATGTGTTTTTCCCTTCCTTTCTGTGGTGCGTTTCTGCTGTGGTTTGGGCTACCCCTGGGTTCGATTCCACGTTCCTTTAGGCTCTTCAGTTTTGTTCTGGAGGTTTTCTTCCATTCTGGTCCCCTTTGAGGGTTCTGGAGGCCCTTGATTACCTCCTGTGTGCCCCAGTTCTTCCTCTTCTGGGATTCCAGGGTCTTTCTGGCTTGCAGACTGCTCTTCTCGGGGTCTTGGAACGTGTTTTCTGATCGTGACGGGGGCTTCAATTTTTGTTGCTGAGGTGGGCATTTGGTGCAGCTTTTATACTGTACTGGTGTCTTTCGGTGCCTTTTTCATCTGGCCAGCGCGGTGCTTCCTCTGCTCGCCAGTCAGCTTCTTGCCTTTTACTTTTTTGTTATTTTCTTTCATTTTTTTCTCCTCTCAGAGGTGAACAGAGGTTTTATCAACAGTGCTGGTGCCTTCGCTGTTGACAGGGGGGATGGAAGGGGACGAGTTGCTCTGTTTGTTTGCACTTGATCCCACGATTCGTGGGCGTTTTGTCATGTCATATCATCCAACCTGTGGTGGTGTTGGGCGGCTCCGCCCCATTTGGAGGGTTTGGAGTTGGCAGGGCAGGCTTCTTTCCCCTGCGCTTCATCAGTTCATCTTGGAGTGGGTGTGCTTGGGCATGGTCGATACGACCCCTGTCCCTCAGGTGGGTTTCCCACCTGATGCATCTGTGAACACATCGAGCGAGGGCTCTGGTAGGCGCGAAAGGCACTGAACCCCGAAAACCCCGAAAAGGAAGCCAGCGACGCAGCAAAAGATGCAAGGCCCCTAGAGTACGAACCCAGCGAACGCGAGAGAAGCGAAAGGGGCGTCCTCGAAGGAATTAGACGCCGAAGCCAAACCCGATCCGGAGGGTAGACCAGCATGGGGAAGTTCAAACTCACGCACAACTGCTTGATCAACCTCCAAGTGACTCGGGATTCCTTCCCCCAAGAAACAGCAAAGGCAGGACCGCAGCATCAGCAATGCCTCTGGAGGAAGAGACAAGGAAGCGGTCCGAGAGTCCCAAATAAGACCCAGCCAGGTCCAAACCTGGGACGGAACCAGATGGGACTGCCTCAACTTCACCAGGAACCCTAACTCGGCGAGTTGTTAGGGAGGAACACCATCCAAGTGTCCACCCAGCTCAAAAGAAAAAAGCCAGACCTGGGACATAGTGGTCATCCAAAAGAAGGGGCAAAAGACCCAAGGGTTCAGACAGAAAAAGTCCAGAATGAACCTCAGATCCGCACAGTCCCGTTTTGGCACTTGAAACAGGAGAGAAACCCACCTGAGGGATACTGTCGGTTCGACCACGCTCAAGCACACTCACTCCAGGATAACCTGACAGCACACAGGAGAAGAGGCTTGCCCTGCCAACCCTGAACCCCCCAAAGGAGGAGGAGCCAAAACAAAGCCACCAGAGGCCGGAAGAAACAACCCGAAACGCCCACGAATCGTGGGACCAGGCATGGGCAAAGATGGCGAGCCTTTCCCCATTGCCCAGTCAATGGGAGAATTACGAAAGGGCCAACGACCCTTACATGAAGCAAAACGATGCACAGAGCGATCACTGCATCGACCAGACTCCTTCGTCTCCGAAGGTGAGGCCGACCCCGAATCTGGCACCACTGACCCAACACGACCGAAGGAACCCCAAACCCAGGCATGACCCAGTGGCCCTCCCTGAGAACTAACAAGTCCCACATGGGACAGCAACTTGACAAAGCCGCCTGCAGATACTGCACAACCGCAGACTCTGCAAACAGCAAAGGGGTAAAAGGGGACAAAAATCTAAGAGCCAGGGCTCAAGCACATTCTAGAGTGAACGAGCAACACCTGGCGGTACGCGAGGCAAGAAGCAGAGAACAGAGACACCGCTTCCTTCAGAATCAACGCACAAACCTCAACAGGACAGCCGACTCCCAAACCGCCAAGGCAAACGTACCGGACGCAGGCCCAGAAACCAGCCCCTCCACATCCTCCTCGAGCCAATTTGAAGACAGCTCAAGCAGGGCAAAGAAGCTCAAGACCAAAGCCAAATGCCCACAGGCATGCAAGTCCTCAGCCACCAAGAATGCCAAAAGGGCAGGAACCTGCACATGAAGCTGTACCTACCCGATAACCTCTTTAGGTGCCATGCGGGATGCCGAAAACCTCTGGGAAAAGGGAACCGAGGATCCCACGGGAACCCGGAACCAAACCCGGGAGGAGCCGAACTCATATCAAACTTGTACTGGGAAGGGGGATAAGAACCCCCCCCCCCCCCTGCAACAACATGCCCCACGCCGAGGGTACCAACACCCAAGCAGGGTCAAATGAGGCCCCAGGCCCCCTCAAGTCAACTCCTTCCCAGCCCCAGAATCCTCTACGTCAGGATCCGGGGCAGAGCTGTCCTCCAAACCCTCTGCTTCTGGAGAAAAAGCAGAGTCCACCGCAAAAGCAGGGAAGAAGAGGGTCCGCTGATCTGACCTAAAGCCCCAGGAGGAGGAACCGGCTAGAATGCCTCCGCCGCTGAACTGGAAGAGGCAGCCTCCGAATCCGCCCGAGTCGGCAGCCTCGGGGCATCCTGAAAGGCAATCAACCTAGTGCATTGCAGCATCCTAAAACTTGCATACAACGCTGAAGCTGCCTGTACCCGAATATCAATAGCAGTGGACTGGGTGAATTGGAGTACATGCAAGGAACACAACTCGCAGGATTCCGGGTCAAAGATGTCATTGACCCAACAGGCAGCATGGTGAAGGCAAAGACGGTGAATTTCACCCTGAGACAAGGGGACAGAGCAACCTTAAAACTTGAACGAAGTGAGATGGGACTCAAGAGGATGCATCCATTGGACGAATAAGCCCCAATGGGGTTTTCCAGGGTCCTCAGGCTGTCTGCTAAGAGAAGCGCCTGACAGCTGAGTGGACAGCGATTTGGATTCGTAGTCCTGAGGTTCCGGGTTCAATCCCCAGTGAAGGCGGAGACAAATGGGCAAAATGTTTCTTTCATCCTGATGCCCCTGTTACCTAGCAGTAAATAGGTACCTGGAAGTTAGACAGCAGCTTCCTGGAGGGTGTGTAACAAAAAGGAGGCCTGGTCAAGGACTGGGCCGTGGGAAGGCTAAGCCCCGAAATCATCTCAAGATAACCTCAAGAAGGAAGCCCAGGCAAGGTACTGCTAACTGGTTATCCAAGAACTACCAAACAAACAAACACAAGCTGAACCCCTGTGACATGTACAGTCATGGGGGCCTAGTGGAGGGGCACCAAAATAATACAAGTGGTCCTGTAGCCACACCAGGCAGACCCCCACCAGGCAACCAAAACAAAAGAAAAAGAAAAATACCGCAGAAGTACAATGTCTCCAGGAGGAACAGAACCGGCCACCAGTGCGTATTATAAGACAACTGCACAGTACCTTGCGCCCCTGCCAGTGATGATACTACCTCCTCCCAAAGGACAAACTGGCAAGGAAGCCCCAGCTGACTCCAAGGGTGGGCAATCACCGAGAAGCAAAAGAACCCTGCGGAGGTAGTTCCCGAACAGTTTGTAGAAAGCAACCCCAAACCGCAAGGGCAGTATTTACAGGGCACCTAGGAAAGGTGACCCTAGGTGCATGCAGCCCCAATACTTCTTGAATTAAACCTGGATCGCATGCCACCACACTGCAACACAACACCACAAGGAACAGCACTGCACAAGGATCGGAACAAGAGTCGAACGACCGCCACTCATCAAATCAGCCTCAGAACTGAGGTCGGATAGCAGGCATGGAGGGGGGTTTGGGGTTCCTCCTCCCCACTCCCAGGAAGGGGGGAGCTGCGCAGACAGCAGCATGGCAGCAATGGTGACGTCATGCTTGTTTACTTGTTTTCGTTTGGGGAGTTCTGCTTGCTAGTTCGGCTTTTGGTCTCAAATTTTCACCAGCTATAGTTTGTTTTGGTACACCTACCTTTCTGGGTGCCTGAATATAAATAGACATAGAATGCTTCCAACCACATCGGGTTTCTATAGGCCTTAGCTCCTCGTTCCTCTTTGAGGGGGCTAGGTTCTGGCTCGTGGTCCCCGGTAGGCTAGAACTCCATCGATTGACTGTTGCCACGGTCTAATATAAACACATGAACCCGGTATAGCTCCGAGGAGCTGGATGGTTTCTCCACAGAAAAGTTATTAACTCTCTCATGTTTTGATGATGCTAAAATAAATCATCTGTACTCAACAGTAAATGTTCCGATGACACTAGAATGCATCATCTGATTGCTACATAAACACTTTTACTTTCATCACTGTTATGCATAATCTATTATAAATATATTTTTGTGTTTGCATCTATTCTCTAGAGAATTCTTTTGTGAATGTTACAACACCAGATTTATAGTTATAACCCAAAAGTTACATTAGAAAAAGTAAAATGATTGTAAATAATTTTTACATTGCCGAGTGACACAGGAAGCCCAGAACATTTATGGTGTGAAGAGGCCGGACTTCCAAAATGTTAAAAAGATAAAAATAAAACATTATGGATTGCTTTACCTCCTGGTCCAACATTTTGTGGTTTAGTTCTGAGTTCTGCGGTCTCCTTTTTCGACCATGGATACTGATCAAAGTATCGTGCCAACAGCAAATTACGTAGAGCATCTCCCTGACAAAGAGTAGTTTTCTATAATGCAATGAAAATGTATTAGTCCTACACACAGTTTAATTCTGATTAACATAAAGGAGTTAAGGACCCACATTATATGCAATTAAATTATTAGAGAACATTTCAGTTGTCCTTTTGGTGTTCTACTTTTAGGTACACAGATTTCTATGAAACAAACAGTAGAAATGAAGCATCTTTCCAATCATGCAGATCAATTCTTGCACTTAACAGAAATATAGGGTAACACACCAACAAAATTTGACACTTATATGAAAGGTAGGTACGTATCATATTTAGGAACAGTAATCATTCAATCTTTCAGGAACTTCCCACTATGTTTATGATCCATCTTAGAACCTTCATATTTGTGTAATTGCTTATACTTTTATCCTTTACCAATCACTAAAAGTTGCACAACAGGCAGAAGCAGCAGTTTGAAAAGTTAACCAAACCCTTGGTATAATCAAGGATACCTTTGAATTTATGGAAAAGAAGGTAGTGATTAAACTATAAATCTGTGGTACGCCCCCATTTGGATTACTGTATCCAAGCATGAAGACCTCATCTTCAGAATAACATAGCTGCTCTAGAGAAGGTGCAACACCGGGCAACAAAAAATCATTCCAGAGCCAAGTCATCTCTCGTATCAGGATTGGTTGAGGACAATAGGCCTAACAACACTGCAAACCAAGCCTGACAGAATGGATCTCATTGAAACTTAAAATACTGAACAAGTTGGAGAATGATAATCCTGACAATTTCTTCAAAAGGTCAGATGTACCACAAACAAGGAGCAATAGTTTCAGGCTCAACAAATCTCAATGTAGAGCTGAGAACAGGAGATGCTCTCTCACCCACAGGGTTATAAACCCATGGAACTGCCTACCCGCCAAAGTCACAAATGCCAAAACTCTGTTAGGTTTTAAAATCCACCCGGAAAGGATCATCAAAGCAAATGGGGGGACCTTCGACAAGCCAGCAGTTTCTTGTCCTCATCGAGTCATCTACATATTTATCTCGTTGTCTATTTAGACTCATCTCGAGTCATGATTTACTCAGGTAAATCAGGTAAATCATTTAAAGTTTTAAGCATCCAGTGATGATGGTATTCAATAATATCTGAAGGGTTCCCAACCCCAACAGAAGGAGCCAAACCCTGACCTTCACAGTTGGTCAGGGTTCGGCTCCTTCACAGTTGGTCAGGGTTGGGCGCCATCACAGGTGGTCAGGGTTAGGCTCCTTCACAGTTGGTCAGGGTTGGGCTCCTTCACAGTTGGTCAGGGTTGGGCTCCTTCACAGTTGGTCAGGGTTGGGCTCCTTCACAGTTGGTCAGGGTTGGGCTCCTTCACAGTTGGTCAGGGTTGGGCTCCTTCACAGTTGGTCAGGGTTGGGCTCCTTCACAGTTGGTCAGGGTTGGGTTCCTTCACAGTTGGGCTCCTTCACAGTTAGTCAGGGTTGGGCTCCTTCACAGTTGGTCAGGGTTGGGCTCCATCACAGTTGGGCTCCTTCAGAGTTGGTCAGGGTTAGGCTCCTCCACAGTTGGTCAGAGTTGGGTTCCTTCAGAGTTGGTCAGGGTTGGGCTCCTCCACAGTTGGTCAGGGTTGGGCTCCTTCAGAGTTGGGCTCCTCTATGTGGTCCTCAGGTGATAGTTTTCTATCTAGAACCACCCCTAGATCTCTTTCTTTATCAGAATTCTTTAAAGATTTCTGACATAATATATAGGTTGTGTGGGGTCTATGTTCTCCTATTCCACATTCCATAACATGGCATTTATTAACATTAAATTCCATTTGCCAAGTGGTGCTCCATATACTTATTTTGTCCAGGTCATCTTGAAGGGCATGACAATCATCTAAGTTTCTTATCTTCCCTATTATCTTAGCATCATCAGCAAACATGTTCATATAATTCTGTATACCAACTGGTAGATCATTTATGTAGACAATGAACAACACTGGTGCAAGAACTGAGCCCTGTGGTACTCCACTTGTGACATTTCTCCAGTCCGATACATTGCCTCTGATTACTGCCCTCATTTTTCTATCAGTCAGAACATTTTTCATCCATGTTAGAAGCTTACCTGTCACCCCTCCAATATTTTTCAGTTTCCAGAACAACCTCTTATGTGGAACTCTGTCGAAAGCCTTTTTTTTTAGGTCCAGATAGATGCAGTCAACCCAACCATCTCTCTCCTGTAAAATCTCTGTGGCTCAATCATAGAAACTGAGTAAATTCGATACACAGGATCTTCCAGAGCGAAAACCATACTGTCTGTCTGATATTATATCATTTCTCTCCAGGTGTTCTACCCATTTAGTTTTTATTATTTTTTCCAATATTTTCACTGTTACACTTGTCAATGATACAGGTCTATAATTAAAGGGATCTTCCCTGCTGCCACTTTTGTAGATAGAACTATGTTAGCCTTTTTTCACACATCTGCTACAACTCCTGTACACAGGGATGCCTGAAAGATTAGGTGAAGTGGAATGCTGAGCTCAGATGCACATTTTCTCAGAACCCATGGTAATTACCTAAGTGTAATTACCTAAGTGTAGTTACAGGATGAGAGCTACGCTCGTGGTGTCCCATCTTCCCAGCACTCTTTGTCATATAACACTTTGAAACTACTGACGGTCTTGGCTTCCACCACCTTCTCACCTAACTTGTTCCAACCGTCTACCACTCTGTTTGCAAAAGTGAATTTTCTTATATTTCTTCGGCATCTGTGTTTAGCTAGTTTATATCTATGACCTCTTGTTCTTAAAGTTCCAGGTCTCAGGAAATCTTCCCTATCGATTTTATCAATTCCTGTTACTATTTTGTATGTAGTGATCATATCACCTCTTTTTCTTGTCTTCCAGTTTTGGCATATTTAATGCCTCTAACCTCTCTTCGTAGCTCTTGCCCTTCAGTCCTGGGAGCCACTTAGTAGCATGTCTTTGCACCTTTTCCAGTTTGTTGATGTGCTTCTTAAGATATGGGCACCACACAACTGCTGCATATTCTAGCTTTGGCCTAACAAAAGTCATGAACAATTTCTTTAGTATATCGCCATCCATGTATTTAAGAGCAATTCTGAAGTTAGAAAGTGTGGCATAGGCTCCTCGCACAATATTCTTTATGTGGTCCTCAGGTGATAGTTTTCTATCTAGAATCACCCCTAGATCTCTTTCTTTATCAGAATTCTTTAAAGATTTCTCACATAATATATAGGTTCTGTGGGGTCTATTTTCTCCTATTCCACATTCCATAACATGGCATTTATTAACATTAAATTCCATTTGCCAAGTGGTGCTCCATATACTTATTTTGTCCAGGTCATCTTGAAGGGCATGACAATCATCTAAGTGTCTTATCCTTCCTATTATCTTAGCATCATCAGCAAACATGTTCATATAATTCTGTATACCAACTGGTAGATCATTTATGTAGACAATAAACATCACTGGTGCAAGAACTGACCCCTGTGGTACTCCACTTGTGACATTTCTCCAGTCCAATACATTGCCTCTGATCACTGCCCTCATTTTTCTATCCGTCAGAAAATTTTTCATCCATGTTAGAAGCGTACCTGTCACCCCTCCAATATTTTCCAGTTTCCAGAACAACCTCTTATGTGGAACTCTGTCAAAAGCCTTTTTTAGGTCCAGATAGATGCAGTCAACCCAACCATCTCTTTCCTGTAATATCTCTGTTGCTTGATCATAGAAACTGAGTAAATTCGATACACAGGATCTTCCAGATCGAAAACCATACTGTCTGTCTGATATTATATAATTTCTCTCCAGGTGTTCTACCCATTTAGTTGAAACTCCATCTGGGCCAACTTTGTTCTTACTTAGCTCCTTTCCTTTAGCATATTTTCCACTTCATCTCTAGACACCTCTATATGCTCTATGTTGTTCTCTGGATTTCTTATTGTGTCTGGTTCTCTGAAGATTTCATTTTGTACAAACACACTTTGGAACTTTTCGTTTAATGTTTCACACATTTCTTTTTCATTTTCCATGAATCTGTTTCCCATATTCAACCTCTGGATATTATCCTTAACCTGCAATTTGTTGTTTATGAATTTGTAGCATAGGCCCGGTTCTGTTTTACACATATCCGCTAACCCTTTTTCAAAATTTCTTTCTGCCTCTCTCCTTACTGCAGTATAGTTGTTTCTCGCATCTTTGTATCACTGGTATGTTTAGGGGTTTGGCCTCTTCCTATATTGATTCCATTTTTGTGTCTTTTGGTCTCTGGCCCTCTCACAATTTCTGTTGAACCAATCCTGTTTTCTGGCCCTGCATCTCTGTTTTGGTATGAATGTTTGTGTGCCTTCCTCGTATATTTTGCAAAATTTGGCATACATTTTATTTACTTCCCTGCCTAGCAGCAAGTCTGTCAAATTACACTCATTAAAGAATTTTCGAAGTTCCCCAATGTGACCTCTCTTCAAATTGAGTTTATCAACTGTTTCAATGTCCCCATTTTCTTCTAGATGATATCTTAAAGCATATTTAATGTCTAACAGGACGTGATCACTCTTTCCCAAGGAAGGACAGTACTGGATGTCAAATATCTCCTCTTCTTTCCTGGTGAATACTAGATCCAAAGGAGAATCTAAAGCATATATATGGGCTGGACCTGGTGACCGTCAAGACTCTGGCGGTCGTCCCCACAACCTGGCCATGACTCTTCCTAATAAGTGTATTAGGAACTTCCTATTTAGGAAGTTCCTAAGTGTAATTACCAAAGTGTATTTACTGGATGAGAGCTACACTCATGGTGTCCCACCTGTGGAATCCCACCTGTGCCTTTTGTTGTGGCTACCGTATGCAGTTTCTTGGTGATCCTTTCACCTCTTTGTCTCTCTCTCTCTCGTATTTCTTCTGTTTTCCTTCTAGTAGGTTTGTTATTTTTGTTTAGGTTGTTTGCTGCTCGACATCGTATGCCTAGTATGGTCACCGCTTACTATTCAGATTTGGAGGAGCCGATCTTATTGGGGTTTG